TTTTCCCGCGGTTCCCCTTGCGAAAATTCCCTGAGCTTGTAAGCCCTGGTTGAAACCGTCTCCCGGTTGCTTACAGGTCTTTGAGTTTGTGAAGGCTGGACCCCTTGTCGGCTCCGCTGGCTAAGACGTGCCTTTTCCTGGCCTTGGGGGTCAGGTTGTGCTTTTTTGGCGGGGGTGGGCTGGTTGGTCAACCAACTCAACCAACTCCCCCCGCCGGCGAAGACGCGTTCGCGGTCCGTTTCGACACCGCCGGGTCGCCGGGCTCGACGAAGGTAAAGGCGGCGCAGAAGAGTTTCGTGGAGCGCCGGGTCCGCTGGATGCGGCGCCTGCCGGCGCCCCGCTGCAAGACCATCCTGGCGCCCCGGATGGGGCGAGTTGGGGGAGCGGGGAGCGGGGAGTTGAGCCTTTGGGAGGGGGAGGGGTGGAGGGAAGCGACATGAAGCCACTTGATTCTGGGCTTTTGAGGTTGGTTGAAAGGGAATCCAAAGAGGGACTCAAGGGAACCGAAAGAGAAGCCACCCGTTTGCTCAAGGGAATCCAAAGGGAAACCCACTTTTCTTTTTACGGGGAAAATTGGATTTCTAGCGAAATTAAGGCCTCTCACTTGAGGATCCCTTCGCCTCAGGTTGTGGAATGATGCATTTTACGGACGGATGGGCATCTCGACCGTTTTCCTTGCCGTGTAACATCACACCCACCAGGCGTTGCGAGCAACCCACCGTACAAAGGATGGGCAAGCGAGTTTCATATTTCCGGCTTCTTCCCCCCCTAGAGGGAAGGGTTTTATATGGTTTTCTCGTATTGAAGGGGCTTGAATCGCCCAACCCCGTTCAAGCGCACAGACTCGTCAGGTGGAGCACATCCCGCGGGAGCACTGTTCAGATGGAGGGCTCACAGCATACTTCAACTCCGTGTTCGGAAGGGAAGTGGTCGAGTCGGCCCACGTCACCAGAAACACGCAGGCCCGGGTTCATTTGTCTGTTTTTTCAGTTTCGGCGATTCGTTCTTGCAATGTTTCAGCAAGAGAGTGCGGCAAAAAACATATTTTGATAATTCGTTCTTGTGTCTGGTGTTTCTAAAGGGAGGCGGCCATGACCAAGCACACACTCTTTTTTTTGGGCACTGAAGCGCGACATCGAATCGCTGACTCAGCACTGAATATCTGGGCAGATCCATGCTCGCGTTCTCCATGTTTTTTGTTGCGGCCGATTTCCGCCATGGTTCCTTGCAAATTTCCACCTTTCTGTAGAGTCGAAAAGCGGCTTAGGCGGATCCGCATTCTGCGGCCGATGGCTAGCTTTCCGATTTGGGGGGGGGGGGGGGTGGTAGGGGGAATGAGCAGACGCACGACTTGCAGGGAGAACGCCTCAACAAATTTCCTTTCCCAAAAGGAGATATCTCCAAACACGAGGTGTCTCTTAATGGGTCTTATGTAATCTGCACGGGAGTAGCTGATTGGTTAAGGCTTACAGGGGTCAACCAGGGGTTAACTGGCGGGGGGGGGGTAGAAAGCTGGCTTGACTGCCATTGGCTGTGACCTTCAACCTTCAACTTTGTTGCATTTTGCTTGGATGGGACTTTTGAACTTTTTGCCAACTAAAGGGTTTTCCATTAAACCACTAAAAGTTAAAAACTTTTAGCAGGGGAGCAGAAAGCAACCGAGTTAAGGTTGGCAACGTGATTATTCTCCAAGGTTGGCAACATGTTGGTCTTCCATTTGCTAAAGGATTTTTTCCCTTGTTGGTTTTAAGGTGAATCTATCATTACTGGACATATTTGTATTTCTTCCCGGAACCTTAAGCAAATGGAAGTTGTTCTCCCCCTCGCACAAGCTCAATCGCTGCGCCAGAGGGCGCCCGGCCAGGACCTGCGATGGCACCTGTCTTGGGTGAACGAAGCGGAGGACTGATCAAATTCCACCCGCTCGAGCTCCGCGAAGGCTCTCTTTCCCGTTTTGCCCGTTTATCCTCACTGCTATCTTAGACTTTAACTTTTTGGATTCCCCTCTCCATTCAATCAGCAAAAAAGTTAAGCTTTGCTGGGGGATCTATAGCTCCCAGTATTCTTGTCATGTTTATCATTGGTTTCTGTTTTCCCGAAAGCATTGCGAAGGGTGCTTCCGGCAAAATCGCCAGCCTCAGCACACAGCCAAACTTGCACGAGGCAACTTGCACGAGAAAGCTCGCGCAGCCAAGCTTGCACGAGCCAACTAGCACGAGAAAGCTCGCACGAAACATGCGGACACGAAAGTCGTTAGTTCGTCTCTTAAGGCGGCGCGGTGGGACAGAACCCACTCTGCTAAAATGACACCCTCTGCGAAAATTGGTGTGGCCAAGCACGAAAAGCGAGCAGCCCCGGGCTGCTTGGTCTCCGCGGCTTGTAAGTTAGAAAGACAGAAATGCGAAAGCAGCTCGCCAAGTGCACTTTTGCAGCCCCGGCTGGAAAATCGAAGCTTTTAAGTACGAAAGTAGCACGCGAAATACGCTTTCGCAGCTTCGGCTAGCAAATCGCAACTTTCGAGCACGGAAGTAGTACGCAAAGTACAATTTCAGAAGGCTTCGGCTAGCAGATCGCAACTTTAAACTACGATAGTATTGCGCGCAGTGTACTTTCGTTGTTCCAGATCGACAGTTGGAATCACGTCGAAAGGGTTGCTGTGTTGTGGACAGCGTTCAGTGCAAGTTGCTCTGCTCTGTGCAAGTTGCGCTTGCAAGCGCTCCGCGCAAGTGTGCTGTGTAGGCTTCGGAACAAGTTTCTGTGAGCACTTGCGCAGGCAGAGCGCATTCACTTTCCAAATTTGCTTTCGGGCCACCCGTGGTTCTTGTTTCAATCAGCAATAAGTTAGCTGTCTGGAGGAGAAGAAGTCTGGCGGAGTTAAGATAACCTCTGTAGGACGTTTTGTGCTTTGGTAAACAACACATTACGTTGTTTTTGGATTTGCTTGCCTTGTTTTTGGGCTTGTAGAAAGGGGGGGGGTTGTTGCGCTTTTCAGGCTACCTCGTGGGACACGTTTGCAGGGTGGCCCCCCGTGACTCCAGGATGCCAGCACATTGTGGTGTGCATATGTTCACTTGCCAGGTCATTGAGCAATGGAGACCATCTTGGGCATAACCCTGTCTCCATGAACGGATGGGCCACTCCGAAACCCTATGTATTTGTCCCAAGTAGTGCCTCTACAGTGGGGGTGCGATTCACTCTAGAGGAGGCGAGGAGGCTAGCAGCAATAGTGCAGACAATCCCCACCAGCTACAGTTGGTGACAATAGCGGGCACCATGTCTCAATATTGGTTTGCCCTCTTGTCTATCATAGTCGTCAGGTTGCATGGCACCGGAAAAAGTATTTAGTAAGTGGTTAGGTCAGCCGCCGGGTTATAGTCCACTTAGAAGACTTGTGTTGACCCCAAGTTGTGTCTCTGGTTTTCCGCTTTTCAAGGTCCCCAAAACTACCCCCTAATGGACTGGTTGGCTGATTAATGTGGAGTCAACGTTGCTTAGTAAGTGGTTAGTGATAACCCACAGCAGCCATGGTTGCAGGTCTCCGTTCAGTGGTGTTAGAACCAGGCTTACTCACGTACTCAATCGCACCTTTCAGTAGCAACTTTCAGGAAGAGCTGCGGAAGGCTTTCGCCACGCAGCAGACCAGCGGCCAACGCCCCCGCGGCTTCTTCCCGGGCAGACCGGCCTCGAGCGGGGAGGGAACACCGGCGCCCTGGCACGCGGCGCCTCGGACCGGAGGGCTGGGCCGGGTACTTTGTTTTTGTTGTTGCTTTTGTTTTTGTTTGTTTCCCTTCTTTTTTAAATAAGAGTTTGTTTGTCAATATGTATTTGTATATATCCTAAGGCTCTTTGGTATATGCGTTGGAAGAGTCCGGCTTAAGTACCCTGCTGACGACGGGCCTCATGTAGGTGAAGGTTGGGCGGCTTGAGCCCACAGTCTTATCTGCAACGCGTTGCCTATTGTTTCGGATGTTGCAAAGGTGATGTGTCATCATGATGTTTGGTGTGGTGCAGCTTCTTGACAGGAGCGTGCTTGCTAACAGGTTGCTGACTTTGTTTGTTTGTGTATGGCGTAAAGTCACAGTTTTGTCTTCACGGGCCAGCTGAGTGCTAATGGTATCGGTGCAGGGTCAGCGTCGGAAACGCGCCGGGAACCGGCACGAGCAAAGACGTCGGGAAACGTTGGGAAGCTGTCAGGGAAGTCGGGAAACGTCGTCGGAATCGTTGGGAAGCTGTTGGGACGCCGTTGGGAGGTGTTGGAAAGCGTCAGGAAGCCGTCGGAAGGCTGTCGGAAAGCCGTCCGGAAGCGTCGGACTGCCGTCGGAAACCAGCATGAGTGAGAATGCCGTCGGAAAGCAGGATTCGGAAAGCCGTCCGAGAGATTTGTGTTTTGCCAGGTTTAGGGCACGTGCTCACTTTTGCTTTATGTCCGATTTGTCCGTGGCAACTGAATCTTCTGTTCGGCAGCCAGGCCGGGGTGCGGGCTAATGGCCAGTGGTTAAAGCAATTGCTTTTGAATGGTAGGGTTTGCAGCCCTCGGGCAGCCGGAGCCCTCGCTACGCGGGGGCATGTTTCTATGGCCCCTCGCCATTGTGTCTTGCAGGGCCCGATGCCAAATGACTCACCGAAAAGATGGGATCCTTAGGGTAAGTAAATAAGTTTGTTTCTCCAAAAGAGCTGTCGCTTCGAGCTCTCAAAGCATAACCGAACCCTGGAGGTTGAAAAGCAATCTCCTCATTTGGAAAGGATTCATGATCAGTGTGTCAGCTCATCCGCATGTGCCCGTGGAACCTCAGCCCTTTGGTTTGTGGTCTACCTTCTCGACTCGAGTGATCTTCCCTTCTGGTTGGGGTGGAAGCCAATGCACCCCCATGGCTCCATGTTTTCTAGCGCAATGACTTTGAGGCGGCGCCCCACCTGATGCTCGACGGCCCACCAGAGCTGCGCGATGCCATCGAGCACTGGCAGGAGGCTCCCGGAACTCCCGAAACAAGGGGGTCAACCTTCTTACCGGGCTTGGGAAAGTGCTTTAGGTGAAGCGAACGGTTTCTTGCAGATTTTGTTCCTTCCGGTTGTTCAGGCGGGTTTGGTCTTGTGTGGGGATTCCGGAGGAAATTTTTGTGGTGAAGAGTCCTTGGCCACCCCGTGCATGGACAATGACATGCTTGCTTGTTTTGGAGAGACAGAAGCGTGCTGCTTTTGTGGCACGTTGTTGCACCAAACAGAACCGTTGGCTGGCGGACTATGTCGGACTCGGGGGCTCGGGGTCCAGAGTCGGAGGCGTGGCAAATTGCCCCTGACGTAGGGATGCCGGAAAGTGCAGCGGCTGCATTGCACGTCAAACATGAGCCCACACGTTACACACACACACATCCATAGATCTATATATACACACGGTATATACATATATATATATATATACATGTGTGTACATATGTACATATGCAGATGTGTTTTCAAATGTGCGCAGGTGGATTTTCATGTGTGCAGGCATTATTTGCATGTACATTTGCATACGTATGCATACGTGTAAGTGTACATGCGCATGTACATGCACAACGGAATAGGTATATGTGTATGTATATGTGTGGGTATAGGTATGTGTATGCATACATGTACGGCTATATGTATGCTTATGTGTGGGTACATAAGTATGTATGTATGTATGTCAATATGCATAGGGGCCCGTTTCCATGTTATCCTCTCGGATTTTCCCTCAGCCACCATGGTTTCAAGGGCCCATCAGCTTCAGGCCCCCTTCGTTTTGGGCAGACAGGCGCCGGCAGAGATCCGCAGATGGACATTTCTAGGGGTACCTTCCCCATTCTTTCCAGGGATCCTCCTTTTTAGGAAACCATCAAAATCTCAGGGGAAACAGCCGGTTTTTGAAAAGAACGATGGTTGAAAAGAATGGGGAATCAACCCCTAGAACATTTGCAGCTATACAGATGTTTATGGAAGGGCTGAAACGCCTTGACTAGTGCATACATATCTGCATGAACATACATCTCAGCAGCTATGCTTATTTGCGCGTGCAAGCAAGAACGACTTATGATTGTACAATGTGTATTCTAGAAGCATATGCATGATGCATATACATACATTTATTATTATAGATCTACACACATGCATACACTTTCATGAATAGAGATATGCCAAGTTGCACTTCACTTCTGCATTCAGCATAGTAGACGCGTGCACCGAAGCCTCCGAAGCCTGCGCAGCCTCGGGGAGACCCGAGGTGCTGCAGACGGAGCGCTCCGCCTTGCTCGAGGAGCGCCGGCGCTTGGGCCTTTGCCTCTTGCCCCGGGCGGCTGGGTCAGGGGTCCCTATATAAGAACGATGGTTGAAAAGAATGGGGAATCAAACCCTAGAAATTTCCGATGTTGGTGTATTCAATTTCCACATCAACTTTTTGACCCATTTTCTGGGACGGATTCGCGACCGCAGGCCCAGTCAAAAGCTGAGTTTCCATTCTTAAGGGAGATGCGCTAAGATGACAGCAAGGCTTTTCATCGCGCGGCTGGGAAGGTTGGCGAGAAGTGGTGTGTACCTGCTAGGCAGGGCTCAGAGGGGGGAAGAAAGACAAGGCTGAAGAGATGTTTCCCATGTTTCTTGTTTGGGTCCTCTTGCAAATGGAAGATGCGGCTTCCTTTTCCTGATTTGCAATATTCAGGACGCTAGCCGTGGAACCCCGAGAAGTCGAAATCATTTTATGTTTGCGAAATCGCAGTCGTGGTATCTCCTCGAAAACTGGGGTGATGCATGTTTTTGTTTTTTTTTTTTGTGGGGGGGGGCATCAACCCTTCAGGGACACGCAGGCCCCGAAACAAGCTGCATCTCTGTGCTTTGGGGCCTCCGGAGTGGATGCATCGGTTAGGATTTTGGCCACGGGGTTGTGTCCTGGGGGCATTCACTAAGCTGTTTGGCACTTTGAGTGACCCAGGATGTTCCCTAGTTCTTATTTCAGACTTGCTGAAATGGCCGGGCCATTTTTAGATTCGGCGGCGAAATGAGCGAGCGCCTTGCTGACTTCCCAAGACTTCTTGAGATCTTTTTGCAGCCAACGCCACGAATCCAAGAGCCCCAACTCCTCCCCAGCAAAAAGGCACGGGGAGGGACTGACCGCATAGGCGTCCTTGTTGGTTGTTTTGGTCAAAAAAAGGATGGCGATTCCCGGTTTACCTGGTGGTTTCATCATCTACCAGGACCATCTATTGCCCCTAAAAGGACACCCCGTCCGCCCGAGCGTCCCCGAGCGTCCCCGAGCAGTCGGGCCCGAGGCGCGCACGGGGAGCCGGACTTTGCCAGCGGCGTCTACGGCTGCAGCGGCTTCGTGACCTTCCTGCAGCGCAGGGACGCGGAGCTGCTCGGTGGGGAAGAAGGCACAAGGCCAGCGTGGGTGGGTCAAATGGCGGTGGTGGTCAAAAAACGGTACCCAAAATGAAAGCCTGGCAAATGGAAAAATGGACTAACCCCTGCGACAGGTGGTTTAATTTTGACCCATGCCCAAATGTTGTTTCCGGCTGCTTTGCTTTGTGCAAAGCTGAGTTTAAACGCGCCCCTCGCCTTCCCCAAAATCAAATGCGATCTGGAAGGTGAGCAACGCCCACTGAAACCAATTTGGAGCACCCCCCCTCTTCCCTTCCATTTTGGAAGGGTGGCTTTTCTCTATGCACCCCAGTTGGTTCCATAAACTGCGAGTTGCCATCTGAGTCATGATCAAGATCTGGCACCCCCAAAGCCCATAGTTCAGAATCTAGAGAATAAGACATCCGCACCTGTTTGTGGCTGGGACTGTCCCCTGCTAATCTTCATTCACCTACGTTGTGATTGGTTTTCCACCGGCTTCCCTTGGCACCACTGAAAACGGCGCACGACGCATCCACGCTGGACAAAATCATCAAAGCTCCAAACCCCAACCCCAGCCCCCACCCCCACCCACCCACCCCACCTGGCGCCGACACGGCGCGTCTGTCTCGCCCGTGTCTTTCTTGCGCGTGCCGAGGATCGCCTTGCGGCTGCAGTACCGCGCGGACGGCCTGCAGTTTTTGGTGTCCGCCCCTCCGGCACCAGAGGATGTGCGCCACGAGGACCTGCAGAAAAGGACCATGGGCTTCGGAGACTACTTGCTCGGCGGGGGGTCCTGGCAACGGGGGGGTTTTCCCGTCTTTCTTCTTCTTCCTTTTTTTTGGCGGGTCTGTTTTAGTTCTCTCTCCGCGCTGTGTTGGCTTTGCTTTTGGTCGGCTTTTTTTCGCTTTATTTCTTACCTTTCTTCGCCACTTGCTTTCTCCATTTTGTTCCGTTTGTTTGCTCACATTGGTTCGTCCCTGTGTGCTCCATCTTTTGAACTGAGGTGCCATCTCCCCATCTGTCTCGTTTGCCAAATCCAACCTTCTCATCTTTTGCCCGAAAGTATTGTGAAGGATTCTGGAGGACAAAATATGGCGCCGATTGCTGGGAAGCCTTGCATTGAGCCGAAGATCGGGGCGGGTGCAAGTTTGGCCCCTTTGATCTTAAGTGTCCAACCACCCCGACGCAGCTAGGGTTTTGGGATCTCAACCATGATGGAGACTGTCAACCAGAGGAAGCTGAATCCCATTTCCAGTACTTGTGCGTAGTAAACAAGGCGAAACCTGATTGTTAGTCCTTTGGTATCGGTGCACAGCCAACTAAGAACGTTTTGTGCCGAACTAAAAGTGAGGTGTCTCTATGGATGATCCTGCATGCATATCTTTTCTTTTTTTCCCCCGCCACCTTTTGCTTGGACCGTGTGAATTGTTTTTTCCCGCCAGCCACCTTTTGCCACCGGACCTTGAGGTTATCTCTGCATCCTCTTCCTCTTCTGGGCCTTTGCCCCCTTCATCGTGGCCTTTTCCGCTGTGGCGCGGCTGGACAACCTGCAGACGCTGCTTGGAGCGACTCGAGGGCCGGTGGGAGGCGTTGGCCCAGGCTTTTTTTTTTTTGTTTGGTTGTTTTTTGCTCCGAAGAATGGCACAGAGACGGCGAAAGAAGCGTTGCCCGGCCCAAAAGCAGATTCCCGTAAAAAAAAGAAGGAACGCGCATATTTGTTTGCGGAGTAAGGGCTCTCCAGCATTGGCGGTTAAGTCTTATAACTTTATCATCTTGGCTTTTGGTCAATCTCTTTTCCTCGAATTATGAGCTAGCCATGCACAAGAATCAATGGATTCAATCAGCTGAAGGAACTCTGATAGATCTGCAAGCCAGGGAAGAATTGGGGGAGGGACAACTCAGGCCCCACCAAAATCGCTACCCTCTCACAAACTGCGGTTTGGGAGGGGTGCGGATCGTCATGAACCGCTGGATCATTCATGGCCCCTCGCTCGCTTGTGGCCCAAATAGCATTCTTTGGAGCCAAGTGAAGAACGCCGTACAAATATCATATACAATATGTGGGAGAAGTGGCCTACTCCTCGCAAGTATTTGGCGCGTATGTGTGTATATGTACATACGTATATATACACATACATATGCACACACACATATATATATATACATATGCACACATACATAGGCATGTATATGTATATATACACAACTATTTTCATATATATATATATATCTATTTATCTAGTTGTATGCCTCCCTCCCCAGCCCTACAGCTGGGTTCTGGCCTGATTTAGGATCGATCCTTTGAAGGCTTTAACTAAGAAGCCGAGAGGGAAACATGTAGCTGACCAAGCACTCACGAACCCCTGGCTGATCTATTCAAAGGCAGCCAATTTTTGAAAGAATCCTTTGATTTTGCGGGGAGAACACCGCCCAATTCATGTGAGCCACAATCATAACCTGGGTAGATGAAGGTTAGTAAGGGGCAGTCCCAGCCAGAAATAGTTGCGGCCGCCCTCTTACTTCTTTACATGGTTCCGGGTAGACCGTTTTAATACCGGGTTTTGAGTGTGACTCATGTGCAAAGCTTATTCATCCAGTGGACATCCTGACATATGCCTGTCCCTTGCTATGGCCCTTGCGGCATGCCGTTCTAAGATTCCACCTTTCGGACATCATTCACATCAGCGACTTTTTTCAGGGTGTTCCACATTGAATCTGTTCGTTGAAATTTGTTTGGTACCCTTCCTCCCACTAACATATTTGGTACCCTTCCTCCCACTAACATAGCACCTGCAAGAGGGTACCTGGAAGATCATTTTCCTCTTCAAGGGTCCCTTCCTGACAGAGGCGCCATGTTAGTGGGAGGGAGGGCAGGTTTTCCACAAACAAGACGCGGCTATTCTTTCACTGCCAATGGCTAGAGGCAAAATTTGGCTCGGAGTAAGGGCAATCATCTTCCCATGTCTCCCCCGGCTCCGTTCCTGCAGTCGTTCGACGGCAGTTGGGGGTGTTGTGAATTCGGATTACATCACGGGAATTACGTTTGGACGCATGCATCCATCTCATGCAAACACCAAAGGTTATAACTGACAAAGTAGAAAGGCAACCAGATGACAATTTGTTTACGGCTGGAAAAGTCTCTACATTAGGAGGGCGGATGGAGGAGCGTACATTCAGGTCTTGGTTTGCTCCAGAGTTCCAGAGTTCCAGTGTTCCAGCGTGTCAGTGTCCCCAGTGTTCCAATGTTCCAGTGTTGCAGTGTTTGCAGTGTTCCAGTGTTTGCAGTGTTCCAGTGTTCCACACTGGAACACTGGAGAATTGGAAGACTGGACTGCAACACTGGAACTCTGGAACACTGGCACTGGAAGACTGGAACACAGGAACACTGGAAACACTGGAACTGCAACATTGGAACACTGGACCGCTGGACCACTGGTACATTGGAAAACTGGGACAATGGAACGCTGGGCTCCTATCATCCCGCTTGCATGTTGGTGATGTCAATGAGTTTCCAAAGGATAATAAAAATGAAAGTATGAAATGAAAGAATAAGGTAGTGAATAATACATTATAGTCAACATGACACTCTTTTCCTTGTCATATCCTGTCTTTATCTGGCATTACTTCAGCATTTCTACCCTTCCAAATTTCTAAAATGAAGATGTGTGATGGGAAAAGCCAGATGACCCGCTCCCTTCCCCGCTCTTGGTTACAGGCTTAACAAGACATTGAAAGCTAACTATGATGAATGTGAGCTTATTTCCGCCCAAGATCGTTCTACCATTCATCTCGTATCGATTTTAATGTCGGGTCGCTCTTCAAGGCGAGTTAATGCAAATGGGTAACCCACCAAAAGAAGCTCCATTCATATGACTTGAGATTATCCGTCCTTCATGTTTATAGTGCAGAACCCAGGCTGGTGCCCCGCCTGCGTCCTTGGCAGCAGTTGGCGGACGTTGAGGGCGTTGCGGGGGGAGGGGGTTTGGGGGGGTGCTAGCTCTTTGCGGCGGTTGCTCAACGGCCATGGGTCAAAATCCCGTACCCCCAGTGAACATCCCAATCCCCACTAAAATAGACTAAAATGGGTGGTACCCCGAAATGGTACCATTGGCTTTGACAACCACAGCCAAAGGTGGGGGGAGGGATCATCAAAGCCTGGCCAAGGCTTGAGGGCTTGAGGGCACTTCAGCCCTGACAGCTTATAGTGGTTGAAAAGAGCCCCGATTCTCGCGTTTTACATGGGGAGGCAGGACCATCACAACGCTCAGAATTCCGTAGCGGTCAAGTTCCAGACCTGTGGGTTGGTGGGAGGCGAGAGTTTGGGGTGAGGAGGTGGGGATAGCCACACTTACCCTCCCGCAGATTAAAGGGATGAACCTCACACAACCATCCATTTTGAGGAATGGAAAATACGGAATCTCGTGCCTGGACGGTGGAGCTGGGGTGTGCCCCTTACTTGAGATGAAAGCAACCCAACAAGGTGTATTTTACAATAAGGTGCACATGAGCAGCTGACAACATGATAGCTTTCTGATAAGGAACCACCAAGAAGCCAACATTCTCCCAGGGATGGCTTCCAGGCCCCCAGTCTCTCTACCAGCTTGACAGGTGGTTTATGGTGATGGGGGGGCACAAGCTGGGAAGGATCATGAACCAACACAAGGCTGACCAGGAGTTTTGACGTTTTGACACGCCAGTCCCTGGAAGCCATACATTTTTTTAAGTGACATTCGCTCAGCGTGAGCCATGATCTGAGAACACAAGCTTACGGCTGGGGGCAAAAGCTGAGGTATACCTCTGCTGTGCAGGGGGGCCAGAAGGGTCAAGAAAATTCACGTGATATCTGAATCTTGCCGGTCTGGGGGTTGCCCCCACGCAAGACCCACCGAGGTTTCCAGTTGCGAACCTAAAGGTGAAACGGGCACTTCGTTAAAAATTCGAAGGGGCCCCTCATTCAAAGGCTGCAGGAATATTCAACCAAAACAATCATGCCTCTTTTTTCAGCTGACAGCGAAAAGGCTACAAAGGCCAATCAGGCCGCCCCCTTGATACAATTTGAGAGGGGCGATCCGTGGGCTTGTACCTGGGGAAGTCTACCAACTGGAAATCCGTTACCTGAGGCAATGTATCGTCGCCTTGTGGCCGGTGATCCGCACGGTGCCTTGGCTGCGATTTAGACCCTTGAACTTCATGGAGAACCAAGTTGCCATGTTTTCTATCTTGTCAAATGTTGAATATAAGATGTTTGGCTGGATTTCTTTGCTGCATTTTGCTTGGATGTTAGGACTTTAAACTTTTTGCCAACTAATGGGTTTTCCGAATTAAACCGCTAAAAGTTATTCACTTTTAGCAGGGGAGCAGATTTCGCCGCAGAGATTTGTTTTGGAGAGCAAACATGGTACGGCTATTTGGAGCCCCAACAAGCCATGACCGAGATGGTTGTTTCGTGTGGCCGCATGAATTCGATTGCATGGTGCAGCCCGACAATTTTTCTCCGCATTCCTGCACTCACATCCAATGTGAGATCTTTGGCACAGGCGCAGGTAGGATCTTCAACCCTTTTAACTTGTTTGGAGCTTTGGACCTTGTATTTTCCGGCCAGCCCACAAAAAGCGCTTCATCCAGAAGAATGTGGTTGACTCTCAGTTAAGACCCTCCGGGGTCTGGGCATCGCCTCGGCTTAGGTGTGGGACGGCTTGGCCAGCGTCTTTGCGCTGGGCTTCTTCATGAGCGTGCTGCCCAACTGCCGCCTGCACTTTTGTCCTTTTTCCACTCGCAGGTTCTCGCATGGCCAAAAAAAATCGGGAGCAAGACCGTATGGAGCAAGTGTGCCGGAAGGAGCACCTGTATGGACCCCCAAGCGGTAGGATCCTTGTTGTTGATATGCTTGTTCCTAAGAAACGCGCTAGCCCTGGGAAGAATGAAGCATACAGCCAATAGACAACCACTATAAACAGCACATACCACACAGTCTTACACGCATGAGCGTTATACATACACACATGCATACATACATACATACATACATACATACATACATACATACAGACAGACAGACAGACAGACAGACAGACAGACAGACAGACAGACAGACAGACAGACAGACAGACAGACAGACAGACAGACAGACAGACAGACAGACAGACAGACAGACAGACAGACAGACAGACAGACAGACAGACAGACAGACAGACAGACAGACAGACAGACAGACAGACAGACAGACAGACAGACAGACAGACAGACAGACAGACAACACACACACACACACACACATACACACATGCACACATACATCCATACATGCATGCATGCATGCATGCATGCATGCATGCATGCATGCATGCATACATACATACATACATACATACATACATACATACATACATACATACATACATACATACATACATACATACATACATACATACATACATACATACATACACACATACACACATACACACATGCTTACATACACACACGCACACACACACACACCTACACACCTATACATGTACATATTTACGTGGCATGTATCTCCAATCTTCCGATGTGGGGGAGGGTCTGATGGAAACCATCTTAGAGATTTTCCTGACGGCCCCAATCCGTACGGGTGACCCTGGAGTGATGCCTTGAGCCACCAGCAATGTGCCAATGCTTTTCTCGCATGTGGCTCCTAGGGTAGGCGAGCTCTGGCCGCCTGGTCTGACAGGAAAAGGGACAGGGACACAGGTTCCCTTTATGGAGTGCTGCCCTGAAAAGGGAGGGGGTCCCGCTTCTTCATTAAGCGCTCGGCTGGGCTTGTCTGGCCACAACTTGAGATCAGCCGACTCGCCGAAATTTGGAGTTGCCTTCAGGGAGTGCAGTGAGAGTCCACGTAGAAAGTGGAGAGGGTATCTCAACAATGCTCCAATGGTCCAAACCGGGGGCTGTCCTGTCGAGGCTCAACTTTTGCATCCGGGGGGGCTTTCGTTTTCATATGTGCAGCCACCGGACAGCCACCCAACCAGCTCAGCGAGGCGGCTCTTTATGCGCGTCAGTAAAATTAAGAATCCGTGCCTGCAGACACCTTTTTCCCAGGCAAGGTTTTCCAGAGGGCTTTTTCCGAATCATCCAACTTTGCTTTGCCCCGGAAGATGGTTAGGTGCTTCTTGCCACGTCCTGGCCCTTTTTCCAATGGAGGAAGCTTGCCGGCGCCTGTTCAAGAGGACAGTGGTCCACAATCAAACAGGCGCGGCTGCGCTTGAAAGAAGTCTTGGTTCTTCACGTGGTTTTGGGCTTGTCTGAGGTCTGATGTTCATCTCCAACCGGCTCTTCGTGACCAAGAGCGGTCGCTGCTGCCAGTTGCAGCTGCAGACCTGGTATTTCTACTTCCTGGTCGTCTTTGTTCTGATGGTGACGTGGCAAATATCAAGCATGCGGTTTCTGTGAGGGGCCGAGGCGGACCCCCTCCTGACAGGTGAACTCACCATGTAGTTGGGGGTCCCTTAGTTCAGGATTTGGAACACGTTCAAGAGGAGATGGAGATGGCCCATCTTGGTATAACAGAAAGGCGATCTGGATGGCGTCGCGCTTTGAAGCGGCCGGCCGGCGTGTGTTTTGCCGGCCCCCCCCTGGTTTTTCACGCCCTTCCACAAGCAAACCTCGTCTTCCGTAAGACGGTGGGATTGGTGCGCTGCCCGGGCTATTCACCGGTGGCAGCTGTGTTTGACTTTTGGCGCCCTGGTGATATTTCGTGCTGCTTCTGAGTCTCGCTGGCAAAAGGTCGGAGTTTTTGAGAACCATTCCAAGATTCTCCAAGCAGAGCATCGAAAGCCCAAGCTAGCTTTTGATTTTTGGGAATCTGCCTGGGCAAAAACCGTGGATGAGTTCTGCTTCCGCTGCAAGTTCGGCTTGGGGGCCCAACGTCGCAACGGTTTCCTGTTAGTCATACTGCCCTTGATGCAACATAGTTTGCAAGACCCGAGAGTTGGGGGGGGTTCTGGGCGTTGCGAGGTGCGCGTTGTCCTGAGACCGTTGCTTCCAAGGGGGTCCTGATGTTCCAACCTCTCAGCGTGTTTTGCGTTGATCCGGTTGTTCCTGTTGGCTCCTTTGGCGGGGTGGTTTGGATTGGTGGCTTGGAAGCTTGAATCCCGAAAACACGAAACCACCAACCAAGGGTTACGTACGTACCTGAATGATTCAGGATTAAGAAATGTGTTGTTTGTTCAAAGGCCCGCAAAAAAAAGCACAAGTCTCGCCCAAAAAGTGACTTGTGTGCTTGTGTAGTTGGGGATCGTTTTACTTTCTCCACCCCTTTCAGCACCCCTTGAACCCAATTACGCTGGGGGAAGCTTTGGTTCATTGAGCATGCTTTTTTGGGCCTCCCAGGTGACGGCAGTGGGCTCGTCGCTCTTCAAAACCCTGAGCCGCTTGTTGGACCACCCCCGAGAGATCTTCTCCCTGCTGGCCTCAACGCTGCCCCATGCCACCCAGTTCTACCTCAGCCCAGTGGCTGCAGCCAATGGAGGGTCCTGGGTGATTGAAACCTCAAGCTTTTCGGGGGCAAGTGGATTACACGGTCTATTCCTTTCAGAAAGGGCCTGAATTCTACATGGTTGCATACCCGTAGGGCGATTGGGTCCGGAATAAAGTCCCCCCCCCCCAAGCACAAAGGCCCCGGGCTGAGGGGCCCGTTTAAAAGGACACCTCTTCGGTTCAATTTCGTGCTTCGCATCTCCCGAGTTGTTGCTTTGGCGCTTTTTAGAGCAGCTCTTGACTGCTTGCTGGCTTGAGGCAAATAATTAGTTTTCGTTCGAACACGTTTGCAACTTTGTGTGCCCACTCAGGAAACAATAGATCACTGTCAGTGGGGAAGGAGGGTGATGGCACATGTTATGCATGTGTTTGTGTGTGTGTGTGTGTGTGTGTGTGTGTGTGTGTGTGTGTGTGTGTGTGTGTGTGTGTGTGTGTGTGTGTGTGTGTGTGTGTGTGTTGTTTTGCGGGTACCTTTTTGGGTTGGTCAAAGGGAAGCCCGAAGGAAAAACGGTTTTGACCCAAAGAGTGGCAGACAAGAGGTGAGCCTCTGAGCAGGATTTGGAGCCTTTCCAAAATATGGAATCCCGTGAGAGCTGTGGGGTTGTTTCTGCTTTCCCCGCCTCCCCATTTCAGGACAGCCCATGTCGAGCCAGCACAAGTGCGGATTCTTCAGGCCCCGTCTGTTGGTATCCAACACCATTCTACGGACACATGTTGCACGGGTGCCATTTTTTGGGTGGTTGACGTGAACTGACATGTGCGCGAGGGGTCCGAATTGGCTCCATGGGGGAGCCGACAGGCTACTTCCCCATGCAGTGGTCCGTGTTGGTGCTGGAAGCCACCCGCTACCAGATGCTCGGCCACGGGATGGGCGAAGATTCTGTGGGTTCTGTCGGGGATGGGTCGGGGCCTTACCCCAAAGTCAACCCCGCCCCCCCAGTTCCACTCCTTTTTTTTGACATTGAGGGTGTGGGACCCACATTTTTTGGCCATTGAAGGGAGGGTGTTGACGGAATCCCACAATTCGTCGAGAAGGACACCTTAGCTATTCGTGCGGAATGCGCGTCGCCAACCGCGGCCGTCAGCCAGCCCTTTCCTTGCACTCGCCTTCCGGAACCGCCAAAAATTGGGTGGACTTCAGCCCCGCCACGCCAAGCCTAAGCAAACCTGGGGACAGGGTCGGGTTGATTTCAAGGGTCATCTGTTTCACGTAGTTCCATTCGACTTTCTTTGAAGGGGCGGTTGGCTCGGATATCGCTTGGCCATCCTCTCCCATGAAAAGCGTGGGACCTCTGTATGCATTTTGTTCGCAGTTAAGTTCCCTTCAACTCCACAACGGGAGTACTTACTTCCATTTGCTTAAGAATATTTTTGTTTAATTTTCCCTTGTTGGTGTCAAAAGGAAGTTATATCACCACTGGACTTTTTTTTTGGGTCGAAAAACCAAATTCCCTTCAACTCCACAACCGGAGTACTTATACTGGGGTCATTATTTTGACCGTTTCTAGGGGTTATCAAAGTCAGAAATGGGGGTTGTTTCCACCCTACCACTTAGGGGGTGACTTTGACAATGGTAAAATAATGGGGCCAGTTATAGCTTACCCTCCTGTCCGTGGACATGGAACCTGACTGAGGGGGTCCTGGAATGTTTTTTCTAAGGGGACCCTCTCTGGTCGGTTCCATGTCACAGGAGGGTATGGGTCAAAATCAAACCACTAGGAAATGGACCGCAGGTTTTAGTCCATGTTTCCATTTACCAGGGCAACCCATGGTGGGGTTACCCTATTTTTGACCCATACCCAATTATAGCACATACTTCCATTTGCTTCAGACTATTTTTGTTATTTTTCCCTTGTTGGTGTCATTTTTTTAAAATAACCACTGGACATTTCTTTTCCAGGGGTCGAAAAACCAACTGGAAGCTTATAGGCCCCCTCTTTGTGGCTGCCTCTTGGGGCGCCGGTGGCAACGTCAGCTTGCGCTCGCGAGCCGCGAGCGCGCGCGCGCGCGCCGTTCCGCGAGCCGCGAGGATCGCGGTGAAGTTCCTGGCGCTGCAGGCCCTGTGGGGCGCGGAGAGGGCCAAGGAGCTGTGCGAGCCGGAGGACCAGGCCAACTACGGCATAGGCGATTGGGGTTTGATGGGTTTGGATGGGTTTCATGGGCTTGATGGGCTTGATGGGCTTGATGGTTTTTTGATGGGCTTTTTGATGGGTTTTTTGATGGGTTTTTTGATGGGTTTTTTGATGGGTTTTTTGATGGGCTTTTTGATGGGCTTTTTGATGGGGTTTTTTGATGTTTTTTTTTTTGATGGGCTTTTTGATGGGCTTTTTGATGGGTTTTTTGATTGGTTTTTTGATGGGTTTGATGGGAGATGTGAAGCCCCCCAAGCTCAGAATTCATACCCCAGGAGCCAAAAGTGAATGAAGAATGAGCCCTAAGTATTTGATCCAGCCCCAAGAAACGGCACGTGGTCAAAGGGTGGACTGGGTTTGCATTAAGAAAAAACAACCAGGCATAGGGTTGGGTTTTTATAAAAGCCCAACGGGTGGACACGTGAACGCTCCCCCCGGTTTTCCCCCCAATCTTCGCCGAGCTTTCGCGCTGCTCGGCTCGCTCGCGAGCGTTTGCGCGGGTTTGAGGCGCCAGAAGTGCCCGGATGGCGCTGCTGCTGGTGACGGCCTTGGTGTTCTGCAGCCTCTCTCCGTTGATATGCCTCCTGGGCGTGGTGACCTTTCTGAGCCTTGGCCCTGTAAAATGCCGGGTCCCCTCAAAAGGGGGGGGGGAGGGGAGGGGGAGGGAGCCCAACAAACCCTTATTTAGCCCTTATTGAGGCGCATGTGATTTCCAAATACCAATGGGTAGAGAGAATGTATTAATTTAGGAAACAATGTCCTTTTCACTGTCTCTTCTTCTGCTAGTATTCCTTTCATCAAAATGTGGTCCGTCTCATTGCTAGAATTATTGTCACTGTCTTTCTCATCTCTTAGTCTCACGCTTCCTTTCTTCGAGTGTGAGGTAGAAGTGCGAAGGTTCCAACATGCTTGTAGTCTGTGGAGGGAGGGATGCTTTTAAGAGATTCGAATGTCCAAGAGTCTAGCAGGCATTTGATAGCATATATTCATGAGAGGGAAGGAGGTTCGAACGCAGAGGAACAACTCGAATCATATCATATTTCTAGACCTTGTGATCCAAATGAAATTCATTCTTGGACCTTAACAACCAAGTGCGGTTCTTGTTTGAACTAGCCTCTGGCCATATACCGAAGCCTGTGGACAATCTTAGGCATACAATTTGTTTTGCGCATTGCGTATGGTAGGACCCTCCCCCGTTGCCATAGATCCTTGGGAGTTCCTGGAACTTGGCCCTCTAACTGAGGCCGTTTGGTGCGTTCCATGTTACCCTCCCTCCCATACAACCTGACTGACGGGGTCCGGGACGATTGTCCTTGAAAGGGGAATTCGTGGCTGGCTCCATGTTAGTGGAGAGGGGCCCGTAGTTGGTGTGAGAGTTGCTTTTTTTTCTTCTTCTGGGTCCCGGCCTTTTTCCCCCGCCAGAAGATCGCCTCAGGATCTGCCGCGCCACGTATGGCTATCTGCTGGTCTACTCGGAGATTCCGAAGCCGGACACGGGGGGAGAGTTCTGGTGCGCTCAGCTGGACCATGTCCAGAAGGGCCTCTTCATCTACGTGCTGCTCCCTGGCATCCATTCTGGAGACATGTCCAAAATTTGGTTGGGTTGCTAAAGCAAATCCAGGGCCCTAGTTTACCTTGGGGGTTCAATCATCTACCAAGGCCATCTATTTCCCAAGGGCTGGTTTGCGGAGACAGCCATGGCACCCCAAAATCCCATGAGGTTTGGGGGCTCATTTGCAGGCGCTGAGGGCCCGTTTCGTCATCTCCGGTTCGCCTGGCCCCTCCAGTTTCTTCTGGTAAACGTCCGAATGTTCTTCCAAATATCTCTGCAAGCCCTGAACCATGGGCACCGAAAGCTTGTTTCGTCACGCGCTGCGCACGGCTAAAAACCGCAGGTCTCAAAGCCTGCGGTTTTTCTTGGCAAGGGACCTCCCACTCACGGCGTCGCGCGTGTCTTGGCCATTTCTGGCCGAAGGTCTGCCGAAGCCCCGATGGCCGTGAAGCCGAATTCATGGACCCTGTTTCACGGGTGCGAGTGAAATGATGCCCATGTCCGAAATCCTTCCCTGGGATGTCCGGGGAGGGGGGGGGGAGGGTAAGTGGCTGATGAGTGTTGAAACAGGATGTTTAACCTACTTTTTTTAGAGGATGCAACTTTTTAAAGGATACAACCATGGCTTTGAGCCAACCAAGCCCTCTTGTCGCTTGTTCCACTTAATCCTGGCCGTAACCTCCTCACTCTTGCTAGGTTGAACATCCAAGTAGGAACACCTTGTTTGGGTGGATTTAGAAGGAAACACACCGGAGTGCTTATATACTCTTTGCGGGCTGGGGGTGGAGTATTCACAAGCTCCATCCCCTCTTCAATGGGACCCGTTCTACGCACTTCTCACCACTTGGGAGGAGTGAAACCCTTTGAACACCGGGAAAACCACCAATCCCAAGCGCAACAGTCATACTGGAATTTGCCCAGCGGCATGCACCATCCAGGCGAAAACCTGATGTGCATGACCGAGACTTTACCTACCCCCTAACCCATGAAGCCTTGTACCTAGGTCTTCCACAAGTACAAGGGTTCATAGATGGAGGTAACACCCCCTTTGGCAGTTGGTTTAGCAACACCAGAAGCAGGCCAACCCTTTGCAGGGGTTCCCTGAGGCTCATCTTCCTTGTTTTCAGTCGAGGATCACCTTGGGTTTGCCACTGAACCGTGTGATGTTTCCATCAAGGAAACCTCCTGGATGGTTCACTTTGATTCCAACTCAGGGACCCTACCTATCGAACCGATCGCAAGCTATGGGGGGAACAAGTGTGGAATCTCGGAGCCATACTTTCCCTCGAAACCACCCTTCAGCCCGGGCAACAAATGAGGATGTGACCTTCACCCATGCACTGAAATTGGGTGTGTTTTCGTTTCCGTCGACACCTAAGCACACCACCGATAGCCACGCCCTCGGAGCCTCGGGCCGAGGCTCATGATGGGCGTCCTGCTGGACCGCGCGGACTCCCTGGGGCCGCCGCTCATCGCGGCCGCCGGGGGGATCAGCCTGCTGCAGCGCTACCTGCGCTTCCGCCGCAGGCGGGAGAGGGTTGGTTCGGAGAGGGTGTGGGGGGGCGGGGGCAGGGCGGGGGGGGGTTGGGGGTTGGGGGGGGGGGGCGGGGGCGCAGGCTGGGGAGACGAAAGGGAAGATGTTGCTGAATGTGTTTAGACGTTTGGACCTGAGTTCTCTTTATCTTCAACCTATAGAAATCTCTGGTAGAAGGATGTGGGTATGAAGGAGAGGAAGAGGCATGACTTGTCTTATTATTCATTCACAGTCCTTAGGTTTCTTCCTCCAATCATCTCTGTGTCCATCCTTATTTAGGATTCGTCCGTTGGGAAGCGAGGATAGAGACGAGCGGAGGTTGGCTACTTTCGTATCTTGGAAGGCTTTAATTAGGAACCCGAAATGGTGGACATCAAGTTTCGGTGGGGACACCACTTTTGAGGCGGTTCCCTGTCAAAGTCATAGCCATATGTCAATACAAATGTATGAAGAATAGCCAGCCCCACTACATAATATGGATATAGTGCTGGGGAATGGGTTGCAGGCCCCAAACTGAACCATCCAACTGGTGGCTTCTTGGGGAACTAGCAAGGATTCATTCCACCATCCAACTAGAAAATGCTCGGCCCATTGTAGTTGGGCGAAGGCAAATAGTAGAACCTCATCTTGGTCCAGCCATCCCCTTTACTGACCCACAGAATGGGACATGTGCACCCTGGCCATTTTTGAGCAAGCTACTTTTGGTGGGGGCTCAAAACTACTTTTTATGGGAGGTAATTTCCCTTCAAACTCCCTTTTGGAGCGAAACCAAATTTGAGGATGTCTCTTTGATGAACCTATTGGGTGTCGCACTTCGAGGGAGTGTTTGTAACGAAGCACCCTTGCTTGCTATTGCTCACCCGCCTCTCTTTGCCGGGGACGAGTGGTGAGCAAAGAAAATCGAGGAATGCTTGGAAGGCGAGGCTTTAAATGGCAAACACCTGGACAAGGTGACTAAGGTCAAGGGAATCCACCCTTTGCACCAACTTGTCTAAGCAACCAGCTCCAGACACTTTGCACGAAATCAGCCCAAACCCCTTGTCTTGGGTATGCTTCGCCGAACTTCCGGAACTTCTGAAGCTTTAATAATAATCGAAGGGTTGTTGCAGAAAAAGCTTGGGATTGCGGCAGGCAGTTGCCACCTTCGAGTGTTCCAGTGGAATTTCAGGGTGTTTTGGATCGGGGGGATTCGAACCCAGTTCTTGTAGATAGCTGGGAAGCCGCTGACCTAACCACTCCAAAGCTGCCCTTTTGAGAGCGCTCTTCGCCCAAGAGGCCGTTTTTGTTTTCGGGCGGGGGGCCAAAAGGGAACACCCTTTATGCCACTTTTTTGTTTTTTTTTGGGGGGGGGCCCTCAACAAGAACAACTCGCTTGCTGAGTTCCCGGATTTTGTTTGCTTTTTGGGAAGGCCATCTTAGGGGTAAAGGGGTAAATGAACAGTTTGGTTACTTTTTTTGGCCAACCCACCTGATTGGAAGAGAGAAAAAGGGACCTCACCCCCTCGCCCCCTCGCCCTGGTCGCGCGATGTCGAGGTTCCGGTGGCGGGGTCTGCCTTTCGAGGACCTGGGCCAGGACGTGGGAGACCGCTGCCTTCGGCTTTTCTGGGGGCGGTGGCGTCGGTTTTTTGTTTGTTTGTTTGCCCGGGGGTGGGGGGGTTCTGGGGGCGGTGGGTCGTGTTTTTTTGGTGGAGGGCAGGGGGGAAGGCTTTCCTTTGGCTTCTGTTCGAATACAGCAGCTCCAGCAAAGGGCGGTACTCAATCTGGCTTCCATATGGCCATGGGTCATAACCTATGCCTACATTTTGAGGCGAATGAACACCCATGTGCCACGTATTTTGATGTTCACCAGGGGTACAGGGCTTTGACCCACAGCCATATGGACGTGGATGTCTTGCGATCCTTGTTCTAGAGGGTTGATTCCCCATTTTTTTTCAACCATCGTTCTTTTCCAAAACCAGGCGTTTTCCAAGGGTTTCTGGAGGTTGTCTAGAAAGAAGGATCCCTGGAACGAATGGAAATGGAAGTTACCCCTAGAATTGTTCCAGTTCTCCAAGTTGGACTCCAAAACCAGGCGTTTTCCCAAGGATCCCTGGAACGAATGGAAGTGGAAGTTACCCCTCGGAGCCTTGTTCCCTCCTGGACCTCGGCCCGAGTCCTCCTCCGCCAGGAGGAGCCCTGTGCCACGGGCCAGGGCTACTGCCAGCCCGAGCTGGGCGGCCCGCTGCCTTCGCCGCGCGCGGAATCCGCGCCGAAGGCGGCGCTGCCGGGGTGAGCCGCGGGCTTCCGCGGGTCCCGCGAGCCACGGATTGACGGGGTGGGGCCCCGGCCCCACTTGGCGGGGCCGGTTTTGGGGGGAGGAAAAACGGAGCGAATCCCCCTTTCAGCAGTGAAGGAGTCCAATTTGTCTTGAGGGGCCTTGCCTGGAAGGGCATCAAGTAGTTCAAGGGTGTTGGGCATCCGCTTGGGATTGGCTGGTTTGGGTTCCAAGGGGCGCCCATTGAACCAGCAAGGGCAAGCTGTGCCCGGCGATGTAGAGTGAAGCCATCGATGGAAGATCGATGCTGTGTCCATACGGAAAGTTCAGCTGGACCTCTTCCAGCTGACCCCGCGAGGCCCGGCTCCATGTCCTGTGGGTGGGAGTTGGACTCTCTCGCTTTTTGGACTGACAAGTCAATCGATTCTTTTGGTGTTGTACTTTCAATTCGATTGGTCCAAACAAATCGGCGAGTTCCGAAAACAGAAGGACCCCTGAATCTTGCACAGGTCGAACACACCCACGAGGCCAAGCCACATGGGCAGTGGCCAACTCCTCTTTCCATGGCTCCGAATCGGTATTGCCCTCACGTGACTTTCTTGGGGCACGTGTCAAAATAGGATTTGGACCCCAACAAGAGGCTTCACCGTTCCTGGTGATTTTCCTGCAAAACGCACCCGTCTAGAAAAAACATGCGCCCTCCAAGTGGGCGTTTAGAAGGCGGAGTCTGAATCCCCCCCAAAAGTTTCGGGGCCTTTCGCTTCAAAGCGAAGCTTTCTTGGCCGTTTTGGCCTGTCCATCTTTTGCAGTCAAGGCAACCGAAAAGGCCAGCCAGCTGAGCTCAGTGACGTCTCTCAGTATTTGAAGGGTAGCCGCGTTGCTTCCGGTTCCGGTTGTTGCCAGTGAGAGTTGGGCCTTTTTTTAAGCCCGGCGCGCGGAGGAATGCCCCCGGATGTTTAGAGGTTCCCTCATGGGACCCGGGGGCACAGATTCTGGCCTTTTCTGCGCGGCCTTTACCGCGGTGCGGCCGACGAATTTGCTTCAAAGTGCTTGCTTTGGTTCTTCTTTGGTATGGACTGAATCTCTTCCAGGTCGCCCAGTAGTGCCCTTTTACCCTTTTTGGGGGAGGGTTCCCTACTTAAATAGACTACAGAAAAAGGGGTACCCCACTAACCTCTCTGCTGGAGGACCTAGTCTTTGTCCAGCTTTCTTTTGGAAAAACATGGTTTTCCCCGCGTGGCGTTGACCCGCGCGAGCGAGTTGGGCGACAAATCGTCGGCCGAACCGAGCGCTGCGCCCGGTCGCTTCCTGAGTGGACCGCCACAGCCTGGGCAGGCAGCCAGGTGAGTGCTGCAGCCCCGGTGCAGAGCCCATGTTCTTCACAGCTCTTAGGTGTGGGTCAAAAATGCGTACCCAAAATGGAACCCTGGTAAATGGAACCAAAGACTAAAACATGCGGTCCCCTGGTGGTTTTATTTTGACTCAACCCAGGCCTTGCTATGTTTCTCTCGCTTTTCAGCAGTCTATGTCAGTTTGGGAGGGACATGGGGGAGGAGCCCTAACTTTCCCCACTAGGACTCACAGAAAATTGGCCATGCCCTCTTGGCACAGGCGAGTTGACCAAGGCCCGTCTGAAAGTGGGTTTCCTTTGGGCCGATGTTAGCAAGGTAAATGGCCTGGAACAGTGGGGAACACTGAGGCTGGGCAGAGGCCCAAAGTTTCACTCTCGTGGCTGGGCCACAGAAGGAGATACAGGATCAGGGGTTCCATTGCATCACCCCAGCCAAGGACTTAAACCCAAAAACTGGGCGGGCACACGATTCATAAACGCCTTCACAGGAGTGTTGTACCTTTGGGGGAGGCATCGGGATGCCTATCTGGAATTTGGGGTTGACATGCCAGGAAAGGACCGGGGTTTAAGTCTTTGCATGGGGCAACCGCAAAATGGCAACCTGGATGAAGTTGGGGCGCTTCAAAGGAGAAAGAGTGCCGCGGGAGAGGCTGAAAGCGAGGGGTCCTGCGCCAAATATGTTCCCCTCTTGTGCTGTAGCCCACATGTGGGTTGTAGGTTGGTACTCTACCTTGAAGGGAATACATGAGCATGGCATGAAAAAGCCACCTGGGAGCATGTGAGATACTTCCCTTGCCTAGGCCCATTCTTTGCTCAATGCCACTCTGATTCCTTCTGATCCACTTAGGGTTTCGCCAGATTCGTATGGAACACCCACACCAAACAAGAAGATTTTTCATCCACTGCCAAGAGTTACTAGCTACACCGCCGCAAATTCGCATGGAACCCACACAACAAAACATCGGTTTGGGAGGAATCGGTGTTTGGGGACCTCCTTTTTAGTCATTGGACACCAGGAATTCTTGGGCGGCACTGCCCAAAAGTCAAAAGAGAATTGTTGCCACAAAGGTAGAATGAGCAAATTCCAGCACGACCACAGCGTTTTAGCACATGCCAAAGCACGTGAACACTAACTACATGAAACAGAGTTCCTAGAATTGTTAGTAGCAAAGTGCAACAACCATTCTGCTCTCATCCAGCCTTGTGCCCACAAACTGGCCCGTGTCGGCCAACAGCTTCCCGGAACCCTGGAGTTTATCAGAACCAACTTCAGCTACCAAGCAGGAACCACCATTGCGCAATCCCCTGCTTATTGGTGAAAGTAGATGGCACAAACTGCCAACCGTTTGGGTTTTGGGCGTATCTTTTCACGCAGGTTCTCCCCTTGCGAACCCTCCAAAGACACCCCTTCGGAGACCTACGGTTTCATCAGATGGCCAATGCCCATAAGCGCCCGGATGAAGAACCTGCCCCAGGAAGCTGTGCGATCTGAACCCGCGGAGTGCCATCGCGGCCTGAGGTGAAGTCTGCCAGTCAGGTTCTGGAGGCGGAGTCGGGGTCGTCCTTCCTGCAGCGGTCGCCGGCGGTGCAACACCTGCGCTTGTTGGCGAGGCGAGCGGGGCGGGGGCCATGTGTTTGCGATGGCTCCAAGTGACAATGGTGTGTCCTTTCCACCTAACGCAAAGTCATCAAGTCCCCCGCGGCGGTGACAACAAAATCGAAATACGCGCCGAGCAAACTCCTTGCGCATCCTTCCGTGCCTTTTAAAGGAAGACTCCCGCCCAACACCCAGCTCCCAAAGCGGCACAACCCTTGTGATATCCACGTAGGCCACGGCATGTGGCCCTAAATCTTGGCCCAAATGGTGGTTGAGGTGTCGGCGGGTGGTGGCGGCGGTGATGGCCGCGCTGGTGGTGATGGTGGCTGTGGTTTGGCTGTTGGCTGCCTACATTACATGCACCTGGCTGATTTGCGAACTGTTGGTGCTTGAATGCGCTATGAATAATGGAGATTTAGACGTGTAAACCAGACGCTAGGCTGCACACACCTAAAGGTTGCACACCAATTTTGAAGGGAAACCCTGAGGAAAAAGCAGCTCTATTTAGTCTTCTCCCGCACTATTTCTAGGTCCCGCAGTAGTGCCCTTTTACCGTTTCTTTTTTGACTACAGACAAAAGGGGACCCTTATTCTAACCGCTCTACTGGAGGACCTAGATTTTAAATTGGTTGAGTCGCGATTGCGGACCAGCCCCAACACAGGGATCACGGGGTGAACCACCCTATGCCCACAGGTCTCCCATGGCAAGCCCGAGGCTGAACAAAAACGCGTGCCAACACCAAAATAAAGTTGGAAACCAGCATTTGCAAGTTGCAATGTTCAGGTGTATAATGCATCCGGATCCCTGTTGTATCTCACCCTTTGGCTGGGCCCCCAAAGCCAGGGATTCGCGCAGAATCACGCCCGCCCCCGGCTTTTGCAAGGCAAGCGGACCGCCTGAGTGACAAGTCCGCGACGCAGCTGACGCTTGGCCAGCGAAGGGGAATTTGTTGGATCACAGTTGCCGTGAACCTCAGAACAACGACAGAACGTGGTTTTTGTAGAACATGTGTTTCCTTGTGATGATCGGGTCGGGTATGGGGTCCTCTTTCTAGGGCTACCTTCCATTTCCATTCTTTCCAGGCATCCTTCTTTCCAAAAGACCACCCAAAACCCTGGGGAAACAGCGATCGGTTTTTGAAAAGAACGATGGTTGAACAGAATGGGGAATCACCCCCTCGACTTTTGTTCTCGTTTCCAAGGGCGAAGTTTCCAACGGGCTACCGGGCTACCACGTCACAAGTGAGGACGGCCTTCCTGCAGAACCCCAGCACAGGCCCGTGCTCTCGCAGGGCTTGCGCGCGTCTGGGCCACTGAGGATGATACCCATGGCTCGGCGGTTTAGCTTAACCTTTTTTTTGTGGTGGATGTTGGGCACCAGTCTGTCAAGTTGGCAAGAACTTTTGGTGCTGAGGCTTAGTTGCCGCTTGTGGAAGGGCTCCATGTGAAGTAACACTGTAACAGAGTTCGCAGCTCGCTGATGTCGTACTGGTCTATGTGTGTGTATATATGCCAAAGCGCCGCAAGCTGTGCTTTGGGTTGGGATGCTTGGCTCAAGAGGAGATGCCTGGGGACATGCAAGTGGGGGCCGGGGCTGGGCCACTTCTGTAGGGTAAGGTGGTCTTTGTTGGGCCTGGGAAAAACTGGGTAGCGCTCCTCAAAAGTCGAGGTGAAAACACTGTTTTCTCCTGGGGGCAGGCCAAACTTGCCCAGCGAGTGCATTCAGTGCATGATTATTGGGCTGGTTTTTCGGCGGTTGAGGTCGAAGCCGTTGCCGACGCAAACAGGATTGTTTGATTGTTGGCTCGGCTGATCAGGAGCGATTTTTAAAGCCAGCCACCAACCCAAAGTTGATCCGCACGTGGTGAAAGACCCTTGGTATTTCCACTGAATGGGCAAGGATTATTAAATCTGGCAGACTGGTACGGGGCGTGCAGTCCAAACCACCCATGAATCAGCTGGGGGCAACATGAAATCCGACTGGGGAAGCTTGAGGCTTTGCTTTTCTTCTTCACTGTTCTTATGTTGGTTTTCCTGTTGTTGTCGTTGTTCTCCTTTTCTTGCCTGAATGTCATGTAGTCATTTGCATTGGCTGCAAAGAGCAATTCATGCTGCAAAGAGCAAAGCGTGCCAGACATTTGGCCTTCCC